GGTGTACAAAGTGACTTTTTGGATACAAGAATATAGGGCTTTCTTATAGGATTTTGGGTGTACAAAATGAATTTTAATGAAGAAATAAAGAGCATACTTGTAAATTTTTCACTACGAAATAAAAGTGTATATTTATGAATTTTTTACGTATAAAAGAAAAGTAAAAAGTCTGTTATTCATTTCACTCTAGGAAAGAGAAACAGATAATAATAAATAAATAAAGTAATTTCCAATCTGAACAAAGTTAAAAATATTCTTCCATCTTCATGTTTTTTTCCATATCCGGAGGAAAATTATCTTCTCTTATTTATTTTTGTTTTCATTTATAATTTCAACCGAAACATAATTCAAAAATCTCAATTTTTCAATACGAAAAATCTCCATCTTTCCAATTTAGAAAACATTTAAACAATGTAAAGAGCATTGAAAGAACAGATCCTTATTGTTATAATCATGGTGACAATATGTAAATTCTTCCTCGAATATTCTTTAATGATACCTTTTCAACATACCCATTGATTGAAATTAGCATTTTAAGTTTTTTTTTTTTTTCTCTTCTTCGAATTCAGAAAGAATCAGACAGATTTTTTTTTCTTTTTCTTCTGCCAGAGGATGTTATCATTCTGACCTTTAACCCGTTTCTAACCAGGAACTTCCTTCTATTACTTCCCTCTGAAGTTTCTCTTTCCTATCCTTCAAATTCTTAAACGTGGGGGGTTGAGCTGGTAAAGGTGGATCCTTTAAATCTATTTGAGGAAAAATTACCCTCATAATGTGACCTCTAAATGACAAATATGGTTTCGGGCATACTTCCCATTGATTCGATTTTGTGGCATATAAAATGATCGAAGAATAAGTAGCATCAACATCATCATTAGAAAAGATCAAAGGGCAAACGGTATATATGTCATTGTTTTGGAGATTCTCATCTCTGACCTTATTTTCTAATGGATATTCAAGACAATATGGAGTAATAAGTTCATATTCCATAGAAAAATATGACATTAAACTTATGAATCTATCTCCATTTCCTGTTATGTAACGATTTTCTTGCATAATTAATTGGTATTCGTGTAAAATATATAAACAAATCACATATTTTATGGTAGAAAAACGTAAAATCCACGTAAAATGAATAAAAGATGAAGAACTTATTGAAGATTTTTACGTTAAAAAAAGGGGGGAGGATGGATCTGTCTTAAGTGAACCAGTTGTTTTGCTTGATTAATCAATGGTCAGGTTAAAATACAAAGAATAAAGTGATCAAAATCCTTGGTTTGTCCTCGAAACAAAACTTAAATTTAATAGTCTTGTACGTAAAAAAAAAAAAAAATATTTCTAATTTAGAATTTAACTCTTCTGACCCCCAGACTCTTGACCCATTTTCTTTATGTTTTGACCCATGTTATCAATGTTAAACTTTTCAAATTTTACAATAGATTAATTTTGTCAGTTCAATTTTATATGTAGATCATCATTAAAAACATAATAATAACTGAACTATGATCTCAATGCTCTTGAAGCACCTCCACTTTGCAAAGAGTCAAGTCATCAGGACGTTGCTTCGAAGTAAAATCGTTGGTAAAAGAGGAATAATTTTTAAAAATTTTACCATAAAATACTAAAATTTTTACCATTTTATGGTAAAATTTTACCATAAAATGGTAAAAATATAGTCATAAACTACTGATCTTAATGCTCTTGAAGCACCTCCACATTGCAAAGAGCCATCAGGATTCTTGTAAGACCTTCATTATTTTAAAAAATTTAAACGAATAATTTTATTTTTTCATTAAAAAAAACCGTAAAAAATCCATAAAATGTCTACTAGATTAAACTAGAAAAGTGTGGGAGTAATTATAAGAAAATTAAGATTTGTAAACCATGGATGATTAATAAAAAAAATGAGTTTAAATAAATAAAACTTTGGAAGAAAGTGCCGGAGGCTGTTAGTTTTAGAATCATCGGATAATTGTTTATTTAAGAATAAAAATTAAAGAAAAAAGAAATTGTTCTCCTGGAAATCACTTAATTAAGCTTCGGAAAATAATGTTTTATTTATGTCGAAGCGCTGTAGACACAAATAAGCAAAGAAAGCAAACTTCTAATTTACTTGGCTTTCGATAGTATTAAGAAATTTAAAAAATAAAATCGAATTTTTATATAAAAATATTTTAATTTCATTAGAAATTTCTACAGAAATATCAATTGTATTCTTCTTAAAATTTTCAAAACTTTAGTGATGGAATCTTGCAAGATGTAGGGATTTCGGTGCATCCTGTACTTAGTAGGGCCTTTTCATAGGCATTCGGAGGCATGTTTAACAAACACTGTAGGCCCTTATAAATAATATTTCCACAGAAACCTGTGACATTACTACCCCCTTACTGCGCGAAACGTCTCTTCTTATAACATTCGTAAACAGGAACGTGTATTATACCTGTTAAAACATTCAAATCGCTGATCTTGCAGGGATTTCGGTGCATCCTGTACTTAGTAGGGCCTTTTCATAGGCATTCGGAGGCCTGTTTAACAAACACTGTAGGCCCTTATAAATAATATTTCCACATAAACCTGTGACATTACTGAGATAAAACGTCTTTTCCCTACAACACCACGATAACATTTATAAACAGAAATGTTCGTTTTATGAAAGCAAACGATCTCACGTATTAATATGTCACGATTCCTTTTCAACCATTTAAAAATAAAAGAGAGAGAGAGAAAAATCTCTAGGATATTACAAAAATAAAAGAAAATAATGCGTCATTTCGTATATACAAAATAATTTGATATCAACCGAGTGGCACAGTATTACTGTCCTACATCCGGGATTCGAGTGGGACACTGACCCCCCATCGCTTCGGGCTCATCTACTGTGACGTAACTCTATCTGATTCGTAGTAATACTTATATATAAACGCGTTTAGGGTCACGTTAGCGAGTTTATTATTGTGTAGGTTGTAGCATAGACTGGATACCCGATCCACAATGTTACAGGTAAGCAAAGCAAAGCAATTTTGTATTGTTATTTCGCCATTTAAAACATCCTTATTAATTAGTTAAAATACTCCTCATCTCTGACGTAAAAAATTCGTATAATTTAATATATTCTAAGGGCTAAATATCTTAATTTTTTAAATATTTTTTTAATGATAAATTACGTTTAAATTTTATATACGCCTCTTTCTGTATACAAAGAACACCGGATAGATACACGTGGATTCCAGTTCATAAAGATGGATGAGGATAAGATGCCAGTCTTCTCAATAAAGGCATTTTTAAACCGGTATTTTAGCCATTCTCTTATTATAATAAGAGCTAGTTTTATGATTGAATGCATTATTTATCTTCTTTTCTTAAACACTAGAATGCACGATTGTTGTTGGTTTCCTAATTAAGGCTTGTAGCCTGCAATTTAAAATCCGAATGCCAAACGCATGCCACAGTTTATTAAACTTTTAAAACGTGTGAAAAATGTTAAGATTTTTTTCGTGTTCTCTTCTTTTACTTTCCTCATCCTCCACCTCAATCCTCCTTTTCATCCTCCTCATCCTCCACCTCAATCCTCCCTTTTCATCCTCATCTCCTCATCCTCCTTTTCATCCTCTCTCCTCATCCTCCATCTCAATCCTCCTTTCATCCTCCTCATCCTCCACCTCAATCCTCCTTTTTCATCCTCCCTCTCTTTCATCCTCCTCATCCTCCACCTCAATCTTCCTTTTCATCCTCATCTCCTCATCCTCCTTTTCATCATCCTCCTCTAAAATAAATCGCTAGAATTCGTATTTAATCCAAATAATTTTAGAGGTTTTCTCGTATCTAAAGTTATAAATTTATCATCATTAGTTAAGGGGGACGTTCTCCATCCAGTTCTTAATGTATGCTTAATTAAATTAATAGTTCTTCTATTTATCATACGTCGAGACGTGGAGAGGGGAAAGGAGAGATATTTTAATCGAATTTATGCGCCGTATTACTCCCTTTTCTAATGTTTATTGTCAACATTTCGAGAGAAAACTAGTCGATGATGAGGAGTGTTTCCGGTCCACGTGCTATAGAAGCACCCCAGATCTAAAGCAGATGTCGTTTCACAGTTTGTTGGCTGTAAGTAAATATAGATGACACAAAAAGTTAAGAAGAAGAAAAAAAAAACACTAAACTTCCGTTACGCTTCCGATTTTTAGTGCTTAAAGAATAAGAGATTGCAATAAGGGGGGAAGATAACAAATGGTTTGCGTTATTAAGCTGTTATTATTCAGTGTGTTCTATTAAAAGGATAAATACATTCCCGTACAAATTACCATTTAAATAGCTTTGGCGATCTCCGATATGACATAACTGAGCGCCATAACACTTCCGTTTATCGCACTCATTGTTACTTACTCAACAACTAACGTAAATAGCGTATTCATTTAAGTATATTATAGCTGTCATTGATTGTTTGCAGGTTCTGACGTTGATTGCAGCCACGTTAAATTGTGTTTACGTGAGAGGTTACGATGTTAGATTGACTTACGGAAATCAAGAGACGACAGAAAATGGTCAATCTGTCTTAACGGTTCCCGTCTTTCTTCTGTCGCAGAAACGTCAACCCTCTCCGAATTTTGCACCACCACCGCATCCGTCTCCACAGTTCTCTTATGGAAAACCTCAGCAATTTAACTACGTTCAACCTAATCATAATATATTAAGACGTCCCCCACCCGTGCCAGTCTCTAATCATCATCATCATCAGGAAAAATTCCGTCCACCGTTTAGAGGTGTACCTAATCATAAACCGTACCGATCTTTTAACAAACCAATAAAACAAATTTCCCACAACCAGCCATCGTTTCCTGTAATTCCTCCGCCATCATCCAATTATTTGAAGGCGACGAGTAATTATAATGTGCCAGACTTTCATAAGCCAGTGCCGCCGATCAATAATCACAACAAGCAACCTCCTCCCCCTTCGTCTTCCTTTCAGAAACCGAGTTTACCAGTGCAAACTCACTATATACCATTGCCTCAGAGTACCAGCGATCAGAGGAAGATTCCTTCGGCTCCTCCTCAGAAGCCATACGTTCAATCTTCTCAATACACTACCAATTACAGATCTAAACCGTCTCAGTTGTATACCTCTCATCAGCAACCAAGTTACACCGTTTCCAATCCTCAAAATCCATCAAGTTACTCAGCACCAAGACCGAGTTACCATTCCTCGACTTCTCAACAGTACTCTTCACCAGTTACTTATACGACTTCTAAACATAGTCATAGTCTACCCTCGAGTTATAATCAACCGTCTTCTAACTACAACTACCCTTCTGGCGGTGCAAGAGTTTCGCCCACATCCTACAGGCAACCTTCAGGATATACTTACGACAATCAAGTAGTACAAAGCACGAGTTATTCCGGTCCTCCAGCAGCTTCTACGTATACTGCACCGTCTACTAATTACGCTTCCCCTACCAAGAATGAACAATACGGTACCACAGAGGTGATCCTTACAGAAGAAGTTAAGCCAGTTCAAAGTTCAAACGTACCCGTACAACAAGCCGAAGAGACCGTGGAAGATAACACCACAGTAAACTATAAAGTGATATATATACCTCTAGAGGTATTAAAAAATATCTTGACTAACAGTGGACTAAAATGACCTTTAAAGAAACATAAAAAAAAAAACACTTCTGGAGGTGACAGAAATCAAGCCATTCGGCCATGTTACAAGTAATGGCGGCATCGAGCCTTAACTCACAATAATTTATACTTATGTTAGCGTGGAGTGACAGTAGATAATCACACTGTTTAATATCGAAAATGTCAAATTTTGTAAATAAAAAAAACTACACAACTTTTCAGGGATATATTTGCCCTTTTTTCCTTCTACAAATTTAAATGCCAACTTCGACTTTTCAACCTTCCTTTACTCATGAAAGTCGTAATGATCTACGTTACCCAGAAACCCGTTGAGGATACTCGTTTCGACCTTTAACCCTTGAAAAATTAAGGTATGAGGAAGCATTTCCCTAGTTCCTTATCCTCTTACGAATGATACTACAAAAGGGGGGGGGAAGATCTATCTACTTTCTGTACTTTCGGATGCTTAAGAAATCGTAAAAATTTAAGCCAAGAAATACAAAAGAATGGAGGAATCTTTAAAAAAAAAACCCTCCAAACTAATTCTGTATTGTATGTATTATGGATTTTAATCATTTTTCAATCGGTATTTTTCCAATCGAATGTTCTGTTTTGGTTTGTTTAATTGCGGGTCATCGCGTACCTTCAGGGGTACTCCACTTCTTTTTTTATGTTTTAAACTTTAAAAAAAAACACATACAAGTAAACGTTTAATACATATTTAACATCTTGGAATTGTTATTTTAATATTTTAAAACTAATTTAGGTCATAAAATGCAATTTTTTATTAAAAAATCCACAATGGATCAATCATCAACCGTTGAGGAGTACATTTTTTTATGATCAATTTTTATAAATTAAATCGACTTTTTTTCTTTTAAACAAGTGGCGAATCAATTTTATAGCAGCTTAAGGGGAAAATACATTACTAGACAATTTTTTTTTTTTAGTAAATTTAAACATAAATCTGTAATAAAGCGCGACGACATAAAAAAAAAGAAGAAGAAGAGAAGAAGAAGAAGAAGAGGAGGAGGAGAAGAACTGTAAAGATGTAGAGCAGAAATCGATAAGGGAAGAAAAGATGAACTGCCCCTCTTCTAAATTCTGAACGATTTGTCGTAAATATTTCTCCACTCGGATAAAAGATTGTTTATGTAGAAAATAGATTATTTTTTCTCTTCTTCTTTAATAAAAAAAACCTCCAAATTTACGTTTACATCTTTATAAATCTCAGTTAAGTTATCACAAATGATCCTCTCTTCATCTTCCTCTTCCTCTTCTTCCTCCTGTTACTAAGCATCATTAATTGCTATGACGTGAAGGTGTATGTTTTGTAGATAGGAAATTCGGTCGACACGGATCGTATCCACACAATTTATAGGTTAATGCACTGTTTTTCTTTAGTTCTTCTTAGTGTGATTACTTTGCCACCTGCAAACTCGTCGGACCAGCTGTGGGATAATTAGTAGGAGGAGAGAGATAGATAGGGATGGTGGTAAGATAAGGGGTATAATATATATATATATATTTCTTTCTTTTATTTTCGTGAAACGGCCAGAAGGTCACACTAATAGGAAGAGGTGAGTAAAAAAAAAAAAATAAATAAATAAACAGTAAAACCTTAAGTATGGGACTAATATGGGTCTTTACGGATGGGTTTAAATTAATCATTTTTGAAAATTGAGGGAGTAGGGTGTTGGCATTCGAGGTATAAAGGTATTAAATAAGGAAATAAGGTTTAAAATATGAATCGAACACAAAGAAACACGAGATTTAAGATATGTAAAGGTGATAGACGATCCCTTTTCCTGTCTCAAAATTCATTTTTTTTAAATAAAGAAACGTTGATTTCGGCGTTACACAAACGTCTTTCGCATACTTTCGAGTACGTTTGATATAATTTAATACTGCAGCTTAGTGTTTAACAATGGGGATTATTTTTTAAAAAATTTTACCCTATTTGTTGTAGTATAATAAGCTTAAGCACCCAATTTTCTAAGGGTATGTGTTGGGGAAAATTCCCCGTATTTTTCGGGGGGAAAATCCCCGTATTTTTCGATAAAAATGGTAAAAAAAAGGGGGGGATGATAGAACACTTAACCCTTTACACCTGCCGTAGTAACTAGCGCCATCTCGAGACGAAAAGAAGAAACATCAAATGCATCCTCTCGACCCCACTCTGGTGTATAGAAATAGCATCAAAGGCCAGTCGAAAGGGAGGAAAAGGGGAACCAACCAACACGCACGGGAAGGAAAATTTACGACGAAATCACACGCTAAGGCACAAAAACTTTTTATTTGCTAACCGTGACGGCTTAATGGTCACAGTATGGCCATAAATACAGATATGGAAGAGCAAAGTGGCCTTCCCTTCCAATGAGGCAATATCTGGCACGGAAGCTCTCTTCTTTTGTCTGACAATTGGCGCTCGAACTTCCCAAACGACGTCCTCACCGCGCGTAGTATCCGTAGGGCACTCTCGCTAATGGGCGATTTTCTTTTTAATAATCAATGGGCCGACGAGAGTGGGGGTGGAATTCGATACCGAAAAGGCCCCGGAATCACCCGGAAATTCAATGTTTAACACGCCAAGAAAGAAGGGGTGGAAAAAAGAAAAAGAAAATGGAATCACTTCCGGAGCAAGTTACGGTGGAATTAATTACTCGGATACGGGCGTAGAAAGGAAAATCGGTGGTATAGACGAGGAGGGGGAGAGGTAGAGAGAGAAAGAGAGAGAGGGAGAGCAACGCGTCACACCAGTAAACGGTGCATTAGGTGGCTATCGATCCTTCGGATGTTAACATTTTAAACAAATCGCGGCCCAGGGCGCTAATCCCCCCTTCGCTCCCAGCTTAAGTCAGAACACTTGGCCAAGACGCTGTCGATAACAGAGACTCTTGTTAAATAATTCCTCGGTGGGCTGTTCTGTCACCGTTAAATTTAATGGGTTATTCAGCAACTGGCACTTCTACTCCATCCAACCAACTGGCAGACTGGCCACCGGGGAACGATCTGTCAGGAATGGAAAGACGATGCAACTCCAGATAAAAGTCTGCACTTACTCTTTATGTCGTTTCACACGCTGCAACCGAAATTTCCACCATATTTTTTTTTTTCTTTAAACGGTTCTCCTCTAACGTAATTAATTAATAATAAAGGCATCTAGTTCTTCAATCTTTGGGCTTACTTTAGTGTGTTAAGTGGACCATCGATGTATTAGGTAGGGGGTCATCTTCGTTTCAGGGTCTCCTTATCGTTAGTGTGGGTCCTTCGTGTTAGAAGGGAAGGGAGAGTTGGTGTTACGTCTTTTACAAGTAGAATTACGCCATAGAATTGATAGTAAAGACCCAACGTTCGAGTTAATTGCGTAACGTTGTGTGTGTGTGCTTTATCTCGTCACCGCGTAACTTCTCCGCTTTCGATAACTCTTTCCGGGAAGTGATTTAAACCATTTCCTGCCCGTCCGACCGTTTCGTCTTCCATTATATTTCTTCTTCTCCCCCTTCTTTCTCCATCCCAAACTTAGAGAGCGCGCTTTATATATATATTCTTAATTCCTCGATCTGCCCCCTCCATCCGAAGGGTGCGGCCTTCCTCTCCACATCGAGTGGGGGGGTTAGTAGAGGCGAGAGAGAGTTAGATAACAGCCCCTGCATCCGGCCGAGAAGGCGCCATTAAGGGGTGGAAGGGAGCGTGGATCATGCCAAAGGCCGAATAAAGCCGTGGGCGCAATTTTTACGGCTCGTGTGTGTTATGTGTGGGGGGGACAGGTGTAAGTAATGCCTCTCTCTCCGTCCAGATAGAGCGGTTGTTGCATTTGTCGTTTTAGTGTATGTGGTTTATGGACTGTGTGCAGAGATAGCTGTCTGTTAGCAGATAGTATTGATCCGTGCAGCTGCGGTTCTGCTCCTCACTTCCCCTATAGCGGCGCTTATCCTGCTCTTGAAATATTGGGAACATATTGCGTTGTTTGTTGACCAGCAAATGCAATCTTTGTCCAGAAAATATGGCCGCTTATGATTTGTGACCGATCTAAACTCGTTAACGTTACACCCCCCCTCCGCCTTCTCTCTGTGTGACGTCTCACGTTTTAAACATATATACTGTATATTATTTTATTGATAATTAGGGGAAGGTAAATTGAATTATTTCCCTTTAGAAGGATGTATGCTTTAAGTACGTGATTATTTGGTAGAGGAGAGAAAGGAGGGAGGGTGCCTGGAGCTAGCAAAAGATTTACTTCTTGGCGGCTCTTCCATTTCCATCAAGCGTCACTCTACCTAAGGTGTTTCTTAACCCGACGTGTTTCCTGCCAACAATTTCAGCTGCCATTTACTCAACACATCGTGATGTTTAAAGGAGACTTATTTCGTTCACTAACAACTCTCTGGCAGTGTTGATTCCATCCCCTTTTTCTTCTTCTTCTTCTTCTTCTTCTTCTAATGTAATTTTAATACACGTAAAATCTTATTAAACAACGAGATATAATACTTAAAAATGGCGTCGGTTAAATTGTGTGTGTGTGTGTGTTTTTTTACGTTTAAACAATAAATTATAATATTTCTAGTGTTTAAGAACAGTTGAAAAAGTAAAAATGGCGTCGGTGAAAGACTGTATTTTTTGTGTGTGTGTATTTTCTTGTTTTTTACGAAGGAACCAGGCGTGTAGACAAGAGTAGAAGACGGCCTTTCGTGTCGATCACGACTCCCTTCTTGGCCCACACCATATTTCAGGATTTATATTGTTTGGCGTTGGTAGCTTTCCCTCGGACGACTGCCGCTCATCAATCACATCTTTCTCTTGTATCTTCTACCAACGATAACGTTCGGTGCCGGCAACAGAATCCATCACCGTTCAATCCCCACAAGTTGCACCCAAAAAACCCGTTCCTCTTTCTACCCGAATAATCCGATCGCCCTCCCAATAGCCAGAAAGTCTCTCTCCCTCTTTACACCGAGGGGGGAGGAGGAGGTCATCTCTTACGTCACTAATTATCGAGCGAGCTGTCACCGTCTCCTGTCTTCTCCCCTTCAACCCCCTTTTAACGAGTGTTGTGACGCCCTCCGCTCTTTCGGGGATGGCCCGGTAGCACGCGCCTCTCGTCCCACACACACATACTTTTAATTCGGCGCGAGAGAAAATATTCCTTTCGGGGGGAGGGGGAGGGGAAGTGACGTTTTCGTTTGTTTCTCGGGGTCATTTCACGCTCCGAGTGGCGGGCACGTCTTGAAAATCCCCCGTGGCTTTTTTTCCCACCCGAACACTGTGCCGCCATCTATCGGCAGAAGGCCCAATTAGTGTTTTAGGTGGAGGAAGTGGCAGTCTCGACTTGTACAAAGTAAGTTTTAGTGTTACCACAACAGAAGGATATAACGTGCCCGTGGGATATAAGTGGCAATCTATCGTCCCCTTAATAAAGGTAAGAAACGTAATAAAGTGGAATTTTTCGCGCATTGAGTTGTTACGTCGATAAATTAGCTCTCTCACTGCACTTATTGAGCTGACACACGAGTGTAGAAACGTAGTCGACTGAAGGACAACGAACGTCTCTACCGATTATCTACCCTCTTTATACGTACTCCCGCTTCTAACATTTTTATTATATAAAACCAGCGCGGTGTGTGTGGTGTTTAGTTGGCTCCTTTCGGAACTCCCGTTTTCTGTGAGGCCAACGTGCCTTGTGTGTGTGTCGGGGTCGACCGGTCACTCGTTTGCTCTCACCTCTACACCTTTTAAATCTCTCATCCCTCGAATCATTTTACCGGATTCCGATTTTGTCATTCGTTATTTAAGATGTTTTAACCCCCTCTTCGGTCACGTGACGCGCCAGTCACGCTCTAATAATCTTTGGCGCGTGTTGGCACACTTATTTTTTTTTTCTTTCTTTCTTTCTTTCCTCCCCTCTATATGTTCTGTGCGCGCTCTCTTCTGTTTTCGGTTATCTCCGGCGCGAGGTCATGTGACCGCTTCGATTTTCCTCACCCCCCTACCCGAACTTTTGGTCACGTGAACGACGTCACACACGATAATTAGCGTAGTGTCGAAGCTGACGACGACGTTTTTCAAATCGAATTCCGGTCGGAAGGAAGGAAAGAAAGAAGCAACATCGAATCACACATCATCTGCTTTGTGTACTTTTTGGTAGAGATTGAGGGAGGGAGAGGGGAGCCAAAAAAAGAAAAAGAAAGAAGAAGCGAGCAAATCATTGCGAGTGTACTTTGGGAATTTCTTTTGTTGCTTTTCGTCCCAGTTCAATAATACCATTTTGAGTGGAGAAGCGAAGCAGATGGTGGATCGTGCGAAATCACCAAGAGGAATCACGCTCGTTTCGAATCTGTGATTGAAGAAAAATCAACGAGATTGACACTAAATCACTTGACACCACATTTATTGTTGTCTTTTCATATCCCATTGCAATTAAGACGCTTGGTTTAGCTTTAGTCTCGTTGCCTTCCTTTCTTTCTCTTTGTTTCCACAGTGATTTTCTTCTTTCTTTCTTTCTCTCCTTCCTTTTTAAATGTCTGCCGAGAAAGAAGAAGAGGAATGGAGCAGATCGTTCTATTCTCTCTTCTCTTCTCTTCCTGAATTAAAATACACTTCTACCATCTTGCGGATTTTCCGAATACTTTTCTCCCCGTCTCGATAAAGATGGAGAAAATTTTGTGCCTCGTCACACCGAGCCACTTCAACCCCGGGTCACGTGAACGGGGATTGGCAAGCGCCACGTGATCGATAAGTAACGAGGCGCTGAACTTAAAGACGGGGTGTTTCCGTTTACGAGGGTGGAAGAAACAAATTGGGATCTTGGGACGAAATGTTGGAGGAAGAGTGGATGGCGAGGATTTTTTATTTTTATTTTTTTATTTTTTTTGAATTTTTTTGGGGGGGGAAGGAATGGGTTTACGGAGGGGGAGGAGGGAGGGTTTCTACGTTGTTCGGTCTGAAGAGCACCTCGTAAATGCGGCTAATACTCGAGAAAGTCTGAATAAGAGCCGCGGGTGCCGCATCGCAGACGGCAACCATCGATCCCGTTGTGTAATTAAGTTACTGTGTGTGTCTGTGTGTGTGTGTGTGAGCGTTGTTGCCGTTGGCGCGGGGGCGCAAAATAACCCACGTCTTGGCTTCTCCTTAGAGAATATCCATCACTCTCTCTCTTTCTCCCTTGCAGAGACCCTTCCTCAATCTCGTGCAGCCGAGCGAGCCCTTTAATTATTTCTTGGTTCTGGTTGCTCTTCCCTGACGCGTCGCAGTTAAACGTACTAACTGCTAGTTATCGATCTGTGTGGACTAACCCACTCACGTGACCGATCGGGGAAGGAAACGTGCGGCTCACGTGATCTGGATGACTTCTTTCTCACACGCCGCAGCTGTTGCTAATGAATTCTTTCTCGTGTGATCGTCGGACGAGGGGGGAGGGAAAGAGTTTGTTGCAGTCACGTGATCGGAGATGGGGCGCGAGTCTTTTCGCGTGACCCGCGCCCGTCTTCGGATTAATCGGGCGCGCTCACGTGACCGGAGGAATGGGCGGAAGAGGGGGGGGGAGCAGAAGAGCCGAGAACCACGTCGGCGTGTCTGGGCGTTTTTCAGAAAACAAACCGAATAATTGGCGAATTGTTTCTTTTCTGGCGACTGGAGGCCATTTCACGCTCGACGAGCTACCGAAATTGGGGAAAGGGCCATTGTTCCGAGTGAATAACGAAGGACGAGCACATTCTCGCTTGCTTTCCCCACGCCAAGCATCTTCAACGCTTTGCAAGCCGCTAATGAACTACTTGTCTGTCTGTCACGACGTCGCGCATTCGATGACAAGCTTCCGGTGTTGCCGAAGACACCGTGACAGCATCCTCACTGCAGAGATTAATTCCCATTGGCGCTATCCGAACGGCTTCTGTACCAACTTTACTGCTTCTGCGATCTTTGTTCTCCCCGAAAAATGTCAATATTTGCAAATGAAGACATAAACCTGTTTTGTAATAAAATACCCCAACCGCTACCGCCATCTGCAGAACGTTTCGTCAACTAAAATCCTTAACCCCCCATTCACGGATTTGGACTCGCATGCTTTTATTTGTTAACCCCTCGCTGCATTATCTAGAGTGGGAGTGCAATGACTTAGCTAGGGTTTCATAGTAACCCCCTATTTTGGCTTAACTGAGAGAATCGACACCCCACCGTTCTCCGAATAGGGCTCTTTAATGGGTTTGGCAGACTTAACTCTTAGTTAGAATTTGTGTGGTGTCAGCCATTCTTATTGGCTTTCTTCTCGGAAAAGTCTTCGAATGGATCACGAATTTTACATAATACAATTCATCTGAAACAATTTACTCGATTTAAACAGAAGAAACAAATGATCCACTTTGATAAATCTTCGAAACAGAATCGTGTAATGGAAATTTTGGTAGATTGGGGTCATCAAACAATTAAATTATTCTAGAAAATTTCGTGTTTCTTATCTATCTAAAGGGTAGAAGAATCAATTAATCTTCACGCAAAACTGTAGCAATTTTCATAGGAAGTGATTTCAAGATCCTTTTCACAATGGTATTTTCTTATTTCAAAGAAGAAACTTCGTTCCTCCTCCCTAAAAAATCTCCTAAAAAATTCGTTTCTTGTGGATTTCTATGGCTTTTGCTCCGTCATTTTGGCAATCGACCATGAGTTTTAAATCCTCCAGTTATAGGGTTTACCAGTGTTGATTTTGGGTTGTTTCTCCGAATAAAATAAGAAATTCCAAGCCGTGGACACTTGTCGAAGGTTCTCATCCGTACTCGGTGGAGTTTTCTGGGTTTTCTTCGCGTGTCTAAAACACCTGAATAGGGACCAGTTTCCCATAGAAAGTCCTCCCGTGAGGCACTCCCCAGTGTTGTGTTGTGTTTTATCCCGACAATCCTGCGATCCTACGGTCCAACTTTGAAGGGTCCTACTGTAATCGAGAACGGGTTCTTGTCTACCATTTTTTTTTTCCTTCTCTCTCTCTCTTTTTTTTATTCAAACATTGTCCCATTTTCCGTCTCCACGTCTTTATTTCCTGTTCGATCGAATGATTCACCTGTTCTTTTACCATTACTTTGAATTTTCCTCGGCGGAACTTAAAACTGTTACTTAATTGGAACTAATGGCCGAATACACTAAACGTATTCGCCTCTGGCCTAATTTATCTTGCAATTTGGAAATGTATAACACTACTTTCTTTACCGCATCACTATTAATGAAGTTTGTCGGGAGAGAGAGAGAGAGGGAGCTTGAAGGACCAAATGAATAACTGGGGCGTGACATTTCCCAACCCAACAATCGTTATAATGGTAACTCCCTTGAAAGTGAAATAGTACACTCGTAGTTGGACTACTTTCTTTTTTCCTTCTTCTTCTTCTCCCCCTTTACTTCGAGTCTCATTCGAGTGTCTCGGATTACTCGACGATGCCATCCAGGTGCTATTAAATTCTCTAGACGGTGATTTAGTGCCTTGTTTACACAATTAATGCCTGAATAGAAAATCAAGATTCGACCGGTCCATTTGTAATTTACCACTCGTAACTCGTTAGACGTGTACAAAGATTTTTCTGTATAAATTATCGAGTTCTTCGTGATGAGGAATAAGTGTTTGCTCGAAGACCATGCCATTGAAATTGGTGTTTGCACGCCCGTTGTTACGCCACACTCGTAATTTATCAGCTCCTTCCTTCCCTCTAACCTGTTCTCTATCCGGCACAAATATTTATTTCTACAGAAGTAAATCGATTATGAGATTATCACCGTCTTGTTTATGCAACACGCCGGAATAATCTGCGTATTGGACTGTGATACTTTTCGTACCCAGTTTGCAATTTATGTATACGTCTGCTGTCTAGACCGGGTCGCTAACCTTTCTGTAGAAGGAAGGTAAAGTGTTTAACTGGAAAGTACCTTCCTCTCTTTTTTTTTTTCTCCCTTCATGGTCAAAAGACTATCCAAATAAAGAGGGAAGGGCCGATAGCCGCTGCTGTGAGTCACGATCATTTTAGCATTTCCTCTTGTTCTATCTTCGCTCTCGTGGGATCTGTCTGTACGTGTTAATATTCTGTGGGTCCATTGGTGTAATTATAGACAGAGATACGGGTTCGATTTTCTCTCCAACCAGCGAATATTTTCTTATAAAACATCGGTTTAGTAGGGTGAAGAATTGCCCCCCCCCTTGTTTACCCATAATGGCAATTCAAATTACATGAAAAGGATCCGGTTTTCGTTTAAATTTTTGTGTTAAAATTAAAATTTAATTACTAAATCTTCATTATTTATCCCGAAAAAGGATGAAGAAAGAAAGAAAACAAAAGAAAAAACCATTCCTTTCTTCATCCTTCTTCAGAATCTTTGTTTAAATCTGAAGAGAATCGATTAATAATTTCATTTTTTCTAAGAGCAATTAACATAATTTCTTAATGA